GAGAAATCTGGGAAACTTCAAATTTTGGGAGGAGGTAAGGACGATAAGGAGGACAAGAATTATCTAGGGAGGCTGGAGAAAAACTAAGAGAATATGGTGTCTGAAGAAAAAAATATTTCAAGGAACAGTGATCATGATGTCAAAGGAGTAGATTGAAGACACTGTTGCTAAGTATAATATAGCAGGATACCTTACACTTAGAATTGTATTCTTTGTTTATATATAAATATATGACCAATGTATAAGTAGTTACTTGTATTCATCACCTTGATAACTGTCCCAGTGTAGAAGTAGAGGAAAATACGCCTGAATGAAATAGGTTCAAGAGCGAATGGGAGTAGAGTAATTGAACACAAATATATTAGACATAAACAGCTAAAAAAGGGGAAATCGGGTTCTAGATGGAGGCCAACTGGGATAAAGAAAGTTGGGTTTTTTTTTTTCACATTAAATGACATAACTTTATTTTCTTGTTTTTCTTTGTGAAGAACTTGGTAGAGGAATTATACAATTTCAGATGCAGAAGAAGAAGAGTATTGTTGGAATGATAGGCATGAGTAGATAACAGGTGTGGTGGTTAATACTGAGTGTCACCTTGATTAGGTTGAAGGATGCAAAGTGTCATTCCTGGATGTGTCTGTGAGGGTGTCACGAAGGGAGGTTAACAGTTGAGTCAGTGAACGGGGAGATGCGGACCCACCATCAGTCTGCGTGGGCACCCTCTAATGAGCTGCCAGCACAGCTAGGATAAAACAGGCAGAGGAACACGGAAGGGCTAGACTGGCTAAGTCTTCTGGCCTCCATCCTTCTCCCATGCTGGATGCTTCCTGCCCTCCAACATCAAACCCCAAGTTCTTCAGCGTTTGGACTCTTGAACCTTCTTCAGTGGTTTGCCAGGGGCTCCTGGGTCTTGGGCCACAGACTGAAGGCTGCAGTGTTGGCTTCCCTACTTTTGAGGTTTTGGGACTTGGAATGGCTTCCTTGTTCCTCTGCTTGCAGATGACCTATCTTGGAACTTCACTTTGTGATTGTGTGAATCAATACTCTATAAAACTCTTATTTATTTATTTATTTATTTATCCTATTAGTCCTGTCCTTCTAGAGAATCCTGACTAATAAAACAAGTGGGCAAGCCCTAGTCACAGTAAGAGGAGTGGACATTATTTAGAAGCAAAGACAGTTCGCCCATATGGAAATGAGATGTAACAGAATGTAGGTATGGATATATGAAGGTGAGCAGCTGTAGCGACTGGAGATTTTGAAATTCTTGTCAAATTATTTACTTTTTTACAAGTGAAGTAGAAAATAAAGTCATCAACAAAGTAAAAATGAAAGCAGAAAAAATAAACATGAACTGTTACTCTGGGAAAGGATGAGAGTGAATGGAGCAGGGAATATTATTTTTTTCTGGGAAATATAAAGACATGAGCTTTGGGATCATGAATTTCAGTTGAAACAAAT